CTTGAAAGCATTGTGCAGCTTTCTCATGGCAATCCTTTTGAAATACAGACCAGGAAACTGGAATGTCAACCTAGCCAGTTCAATCAGCTGTGGTATCAATGTCAGATATTGGTACTTAAATGCCTTCATTTTCATGTGAGAAAATGGGGGGTTTATAATCCACAATGGAATTTTGAGCACTCTGTTGGAACTTGGTTAGGAGGAGGGCATGTAGTGAAGTGTCTGGCCAACCCAATCTGACTTTCAGCTGCTTTTTATGTTTTTTACAAAGGAAACACTTTTTTTATTTTTTTTTCCCTTCACACAGTGGATCCTTTCTAAACTGGAAGAAGTGAGAGAGAATCAGCCAAAATTGTAATGAATGGAGAAGCAACAAGATATGAAGAACACTAAACCCTGAACCTTTTAATTCCTCTTTAACAAGCGGAACTATTTGAATATCAACAAAAAAAGCAAAAAAAGGAGGGAAGGAAGGTTTATGGAATTTTTTGTTATGATCACAACAGTCAAATACAATCAATATCACAAAAACAGATGATGTGAAATTAAAAAAAATTCCAGTGATCAAAAAAATTCTGCCAAATTTTGGGTTATTTTGTTTGTGGTTTTTTTTTTTAAACGTAAGAATTCCAAATTTCATTTTTTAATAAATACCACGTAAAATGAATTTGTTTTACCATTACATTTGATACTGAAATCGAATTCTGGAATAATTCTTATGATACTATTCAGACCTACTATTTTAGTTTTGATTCTGAAAATCAATACTTAGTTTCTGCCTTAGTTTTCATATCACTTCAGGCTGTGTTGAAATCAAAATTTCTTTATCAAACGCAATGTTAACTTAATAATCACTAGTCTTAAAACTCAAATTCTAAGAAGGAAGTCACTGACCAGAGAATTTTAATTTAGATGATCACAGGAGTGGCTGCTTAGTCATTATAACAATATTACCCTGTTTTTGTAAGTGAATGGACCAGGTCACGATGAATTTATACTACCGTATCACTTTTAGTGTAAACTTTTTATATATTTTACTCAAGGAAAAGTTGCAGCACCTCTATCAATATTCACGGAAAATACAACAGTTTACAAAATGTGTAATGGGGAGAATTAATATATCTCTGCACTAAAAGTATTAATTTAAGCCTATTATTTTAAGTAAAAGTTATTAACTCAAGGAGGAGTTTATGGGGTTATAAGTGCACTGTTGCATACCAAAAATAAATGCCTTGGATATCACAGTATTGTGTGCTAAGCAAGTGACTAATAAAGTCAAATTTATATTGAATAATAAATATATTTGTTGTTTTTATCAACTTTTACCCAATGAGACCTTTGTTTTTCATATCCAGACAGCAGAACTTTAATAGGGAGAGCTTGAATGTGTGCAATTTTGCTTATTTCTTAGATGTAGTAGTCATAGTGTTGTTGAATGTGTGTTTACTGCAGTTGATACAAAAAGTGCAGGAGATAGTACAGTGTTACATGAAGGTTTCCATAAATTCCGATATCAAAGTCTTCAAGATGTCTGGTACATACAGAAGGACCTTCTGCCAAAAAAAATATTTATTATTACCAAACAATTGCTTGGAATATTTATAGCTACAGGATGTAGTTCTGACATTGCTGGTGGTGCCTCAGACATCTAAATAGTCACATTAATGTAAAATCTAAAATGACTAGCATGCTAACCTTCAATTGCAGTTCTTTTAATTTACTGTGAGTCTTACCTTTGGCATTGAGTAACCATTTAGTGGGTCACAAAATACATGTAAGCTTGTCATTTTTTGCATGAATTGAATCAAAATATTCGAAGAGAATTCCGAACTGTGACAATGACTGTGTTACTCCACTTGTTTGTACACCAAGTGCATACCAAGAGTATAAACTCAGGTTATGATCATGCCAAACAAATAGAATACTTTGCCTTAGATAAGCACTGTTATTAGGTGCACTGAGTACCATCCCATGCCTGTAATTTGTTTTTCATCTATCACTTCTTATTTCAGGCATGAATGTTAAGAATCACTAGCCTTATCATGACTTTGGATCTGGATTACTGTGTTATCTCCTCCTCTCTCTTTGTCCCCAGTATTTACTGAGTGGCTGGAGTGACTTTCACTTCCAGTACCTCTTGCAAGTACTTTCTTTGTTCCTGTTTGTGTAGCTTTTCAATTTGCCTTATTCTGAACATCATCTCTGTGCAGAGCCTCTGTTTCAATGAATGCTATTTCCAGTTCTTAACTTTCTTTGGGTATTTATTTTGCCCCAAACCTCCTGATTCTCAAATCTCAGCTGCTTCTTCAGTAGTATTTGAGCACTTTAACCATTAATTTGAAGGATTTATTTTAAATGTGCGTGGCTGTGGTTAAGTTCGTGTTTTGGAAAACATAACAGTTCACCCAGAATTGCATTTTTCCGATAGTGTATAAAACTATTTTGATCTTTTGGGTTAACTAAAAGCCTTAACATAAGGACTAAAAAACACTGGAAGTGTTCAAAAGTAGGCATGGGACCTTTTCCCCACCTCACTCCTTGTCTCTACTTGTAATGACATGATTTTCCGTAGTTCCCTTATTCTTGTCAGTAAATGATATCTTTTTCCTTTGTTTTTATCCTTATGTTTTCTCCATACAGTCACAAATGAACTTTGCCATTTCTTGGCAAACACCAGCTGTTCTGGGGCAAGGAGGAAGGTATTTTGACCTATGTCTTTGTGTAGTTTTCTGGGTTGTTCCAAGTTGTTTGAGATGTCCACTCTGCAGTGCCTCATTCCTTATCGTAATATGCATTTATTTTCAACAAGAAGGCAGAATAGATATATTAAATTTTATTAAAACGTGTATGCAATTAGACTAGGGGATCTCAGTAAAAATGAAAATGTAGGCATTTATGTCTGCCCACCATGATAATTAAAAGTATGCTATAGCCTTTTTGAAGTACTGAAGCAGAGTTTCTCTTCTAGATGACTGTTACCTAAACTTAATACTTTTGAGAAATGTCATTTGGGTTCTCAGTAGTGGTTTGTTAAGGGTTATAATTGCCTGTAAGAAATCAATGACAGATCAAGCATAGAATCAAAAATGCCGGACACGTTGCTAAAACATTTGTAAATCTACCTGATGGCACCTCTGTTTTTTTTGTTCAGCTGCATGGCTTTGCATGGCATAGTGCTCTTGGCATACTGCACGCTCCTTCCTCCCCTGGCCTCTTCTTCACCTTGAATAAAGTGAAACTGAATTTTATTTGACTGGAATGTGTTTATTATTTTTCTTTATATACTGCTTTAATTAACAGCTAGTACCATTACTCAGAATTTTGTAGGCAGAAATTTACAAAGTTAAATCCTGTCTCTGAGAAGCGAAGGTCATGGTGCTGCTGCAGCCATCTCAGTGAAAGCAGAATTCAGACTTCAGTCTTTACCATTAGTTCACTATAAGAACAAGTTTTTTATAACTGGATTTACATGTATAAGCTCCCTTTAAAGTGTGGTTTTGTGTGTGTGGATTTTTTTTTTCTGTTGCCACATTGAAAAAACATAAATGATGTTCCCAGATAACTAGATTCTTAGGAAATCAGGGTTATTTTCCCCAAAACAATTTCCATGTGTATGCCATTAGCCATTTATTAACTTTAGCACTTCACAAAATACACTCACATGTCAAATCATTAAGATATTTTGTTTTTATCTATCTTTCATCTATCTGCCAATAACAAATACCCCACACTATTCAGATTAATATTACTGTGTAGTGGTAGTTAAAATTTAATACTTAGAGCATATCCTTGGATATGAACTACAAACCCTAAGTTGACTAATTCTTCTGCTGATGTAAAACAGTTTCTATAAATACATCACATACCTTGAAATGCAAATTGTCATAGATTGATTAGGCAATTTTTGAAAGCCTTACGCTTTGCTGTTTAAAACTGACAAATCAGCAGATAGCTGACACCTTTTTTCCCACCTGTAACTCTACTACTTGGTCAGGACTTGCCTGCTACTATTTTTACCGGTTGATTAATTAGGAATTTGCTGGCCGTTATAAGCGAGTACATATACGCATCATGTATGATCCTGAGCTTTGTGTTTTGACCTAAGAAATGCAACCATGGTTTTGGCTGCAATTTTTGCTTTTGTAACTGCAAGTGGGATGCAAGGATTTAAAATTCCATTCACAGCAGACACAGGATTTTTATAGAGGTTCAGACTGTTTTCAGGGCAAATCTGGGACAAGAGTTCTAAATATTCTTGCAATACCTCATGGGAGGAGTAAGTTGGCTTTTAAGTCTCCTCCTACAAGGAGTGAAAGAATGTCCAGGCAATTCATTTTTATTAACTCGTCATCTCTGGATCAGTACATCAAAGGCTGAAACAAATGGGACCGCTGAACAGGCATCATGAGGTAGGAGACTAATAGGCAAAAAGGGAGAAAAAAACATTTATATTTTTGCGGGATTTCTGCCTGTTTTTTATCTTTGTGGGTTTTCATTCTTTGTTGCAGTCAAGCAGATCAAAACAAACTATGTGCAGAATTTTGTTTTGGTAACTGGTCTCATGAATTTTTAGATGCCTGTTGTGAAGAGTGAAAGAAAAACATTCTTGTGCTGATGGGTCCTGTAAAAAGGTATCTGTCCTGCAATCCGCAAAGTTTGTACTCCCTGGCAAAGCCAGGCTCCCAGATTCATGGCACCAGTGTGCTCTTCACAGAGACGGCAAATACTGACTCAGCATATGAAACTGCTAACAACCTAAACAAGCATTTTTCCAGAATTTCCCAGGGGTTCAGAACTGGATCAAGCAGCTCTGGGCATTTAATACTCTTTCCTCCATCAATTCTGCTGCCCTAGAAAAGGTGTTTTTGTTCTCGTCTTTTCATGTGACTAGAAGTCCTTAAGTAATGTAAAAAGAAACATGTGTGACAGTATCTTAACAGGCTAATTTCATATTTAAATGTCAAATGCCCATAAAAGCACGTTCCCTTGTCAGCATGTTCTCAGTCGTATGTTAGCGGAGCAAAAGCTATCACGATACTGCTTTCTAGAATGTTGTGCAGTTTGCTTTCTCCAATGGTAAACCCTACAGGTGAAAGTAATTATTAATGAAAACCTACACAACTGGAATTACCCAGCTCATATTAATAGTTTGCCATGTTGTTGCAATATGTTAAAGACCATGACAGAAACTAAATTTTCTAAAACACACCAGCAGGGAGACACGTGAGACGAGAGGGGGACATGTGTTTTCTCTCTAACTGTTGAATCCCTGTACCTGTCCTCATTAATCGTAGGATTCAACATGGGGCATGTCTTGGAGAATATAATACTGTATTAAGTCATGGAATACACCTGTGATGGCACTCATCATTCTTTTGGTGAATTTAAGTTATCAGTAACATTTGTGAAGGAAAGTTATTCAGGCTGCTTTTCAGATTTGGACTTGCGTATAGGTAAGTTACAATAATGAACGCAAAACTCAACTATGGCTTTCTGCTGCATAAAGAGTTGGAGTCATAGTCATATTGCCCAAGTTCCCCCCGTATCTTGTCACTTGAGACTGAAGATGAAAAAGGTGATTCTTCTTATAAATACTCATCATGCCTCTCTTAACAGTAACTGCATGGCTGCATGAAATCTCTAAAGACCACAATGCTCCAGTAAAAAACACAGTTTCAGTAAAACTGAGTAACAAGTTTGTATTTTAAAGGGTAGAGTAGAAAAGCGTAGATACCAAATTCATTGCATATTTCTGCTTCTTGTGCTCAATTTAATGAGAAAATACTGATTTGAATATGACACTGAGCTTGGTGAAGATGGTGTGGGATAAATGCTTACCTGTGTGTTCTGGAAAGTAACTAGTTAGATGAGAACACGTGATTTTGTCTTCTGGAAGATCTTTTTATTTAAAACCAAAATAAATGAAGAATTCAGAAACCAGGGGTAAGTAATGATAGTTTTAAATAAGGCCTTGCTGTCTTCCACTTGACCCTACAACTACTGAATGCAAAAACACAAAGGACCTTGGAAGTGAAGTTGCAGCAACTACTTCCATAATTGTATACTGAACCATCTGACCTAAATATATTATACCTAAATATAATATTTTCTAAATCAAGAGGATACTTAATAATCCCTGTCGTTGGCACTTGGACTCCTAAGAATATTCTTGCTGAGTTGGCACAAATGAGGACATAGGAATACGATCAAGGTCAATAAGACAACTAAAAAGTTAAACACACATCAGAAACAAGATGAATGCATTGCCATAAATCAATCACACACATTCAAAACCAAACTGCTAACCAGCAATCGCAGAAGTGTTCCCACAAAAGCAGCTGAACGGAAATTCAGTTGTGCGTGGCCTTAGCACAGTTGTTGCTGGCACAGATCAACAAAACCGTTTAACTGAGATCTGCATGTACATTTCAGACAGAATAATACGAGTCAAAAGAGATGATGCCAGAAGAGACAAACAACCCACACCCTAAATGATGAGTTTGATTTGAATATCCTTTCCTATTTCTCCAAAATAAACATAATTAAGATTTTAACACAAATATAAATATCAGTGTAGCCATAATGTTTACCAGTGCTACTCTGTCCCTGTCACTTCATCCGTGATGCTGATCTTGCACACAGATGTGAAAGGTTGCTGGACAAAATTCAGAAAAGTAATTAATAGAAAGCACTGCAACATGAATGCTTCAAAATGATATGCTTTTAAAATAAACAGTGACGCATTTAGTTTCTCGTCTGCCCATGCAGTCATTATTAGCTTTGCCCTCCTTAGTTTCACAAGGCTCTTGTGCTTTTCATGCCTCAATAAATGAGCAGTGAGCAAGCAAGGCACAAAAAGACGATGTTTGGTAGTCCTCTCTGCAGTCTATCTTCTCACCGCTAGACGGCAACGTTAGATCATCCAAAATCCTAACTTGGCCTACAAAAAGTGTAAGGTGTATCACAAATGATACAACATGGTTATAGCACAAACCTTCCTTTAAGCACTAATTGCTCCCTTTTCCTTTGCTGGAACAAGGAGGGTGTCGATGCCCAAACATTCCTCACGCTTGGGCTCCAAACCTCAAAATCATGATGTTATCACTTAACCTGAAAAGATTTCTCTTATGAAAATTTCTCCTCTTCAGAAATCTAGCCAATTGTTATGAAGCTCTCAGTTGTAATTAACAGTAAAGGGAAAGTTTAATTAAAATAAAACTGATTTAGAAAATGAGGCCACCGTGGCATACTTCTTCTCAATGTAGGATTATTTAAGAACAAAGCAGACAAAGATTTGTCAAGAACGGTAATATTTAACACACGTGAACAGATTGACTGTATGTAACCATTCTCAGTTAAAATTTATCATAAATGCCTAATGTAAGTGTTCTTTGCTGAAACTTAACCCTGTTACTTCTCAACCGTGGCAGAAACAGAAATGTAAATTCTCTGTGCTCATGAAGCAATCATTTTTTCACAATTAAATTATTTTAAAATCGGGGGAGAGACTTGTCTTCATCCTTATTTACATCCTAAACTTTTCATGTAACTGAACTGTCTGACCTGCCTGCTAGTTGTCAGTGTAGTTTGTACAGCTGTTTTTCATGATTTCCCCCAAGGCAAAATCAGTTATGTACCAGCTGTGTTGACCTCAGAACTGGGAGGGATGATGGTTCCAGTATGCTCAGAAAGCCTAAAATTAGTTTATTTCATCACTACATCTTAAAATCTGTTGTGTACCACAGGCCAAGAGAGACACGGGTGTAACTAATAAAATCAGAGGGAACCTAGCTTTTCATTATGAGCCCTCAGTGTGCCCAGGTGGCCAAGAAGGCCAGTGGCATCCTGGCCTGCATCAGGAACAGTGTGGCCAGCAGGACCAGGGCAGTGATTGTCCCTCTGTACTGGGCACTGGTGAGGGCGCACCTCGAATGCTGTGTTCAGTTCTGGGCCCCTCACTGCATGACGCTGGAGCGTGTCCAGAGAAGGGCAACAGAGCTGGGGAAGGGTCTGGAGCACAAGTCCTGTGAAGCGGCCGGGGAAGCTGGGGGTGTTCAGCCTGGAGAAGAGGAGGCTGAGGGGGGACCTTATCCCTCCCTACAACTACCTGAAAGGAGGGTGCAGAGAGGTGGGTGTTGGTCTCTTCTCCCAAGTAACACGTGACAGGACAAGAGGAATTGGCCTCAAGTTGGAGCAGGGGAGTTTTAGATTGGATATTAGGAAAAATTTCTTCACTGAAAGGGTTGTCAGGCATTGGAACGGGCTGCACAGGGAGGTGGTTGAGTCTCCATCTCTGGAGGTATTGAAGAGATCAGTTGATGTAGTGCTTAGGGACGTGGTTTAGGGGGGGATGTGGCTGTGCCAGGTTAATGGGTGGACTTGATAGTCTTTTCCAACCTAAATGATTCTGTGATTGACTTCATTAAGTCTGGCTTGTCCCTGTAGTTAGGCAGTGTACTTAGTACTTAGCAGAGTCTGAGAGCTAATACTCCCTTTGTCTGTTGTAGCACTCTTGAATTCCTGGGTCTTCCCAGAGCTTCTTGATTGCTTCAGCTTGTCTTCTTTCCAGCACTGTCACTTTATCCACTTCCACTTCTCTGATCATCTGAGCACTCTCCTAATCAATTAAATGATTACACTATTGTCAGAAAGTATTGCATGCAGTACACACTGTCCCCTTTCTTTATTATAGTCTTCCCATCAGTGAGACTAAGAATCTGAAAGGAACCTAGGGGGAAATAAGCAGTTTTAATCCTTGAATGCATTTAATTTTTCAAGTGAAATGACTGCTACTGAATGTTTTAACCAACTTTGTCTGGCTTACTGTCACCCAGGTGTGTTTTTTCTTTTGAAAAGAGGACTTTGACAAAGGTCAGAAGGAGCTCTAAACCTACTAATTTTAAATTACAATACTACATTATAACAATGGTAATGCTTCTAAAATTCTAGATACTTTTAATAGAGATACTTTTGGTTTGTTTGGTGTTTTGGGTTTGGGGTTTGGTTTTATTTTTCAGGACAAACCAGAGGCTGACCTAGACTAAATAGCACTAAAAGACCTGGTGCTATTAGACCTAAAAGACTAAATAGTCTAAAAGCAGGCATAAAATTTCTACAGGCCATCTTCTGTATTATGTTGCTGTTTAATGTTTCTCAGTGGGATACAGCCAATGTAAGAGGTGTAAATTTTGATGAAATGGATACAAAATTATCTATCGTGGTGCAGTCGACACGCTGGAGG